TGCCCTTTAAAAGCGGATTCAGCCTAGATCACTTTTCTGAGTCTTCAATCTGTATGACGTTGGTATTATCCAACTAGGAGAATCAGTGCATTATAAAACTTCAGAATCATTTCTGGAGTCGAACTGGGGATGAATATCATTCTCTAAGTCACAAGAAGCTGGGAAGGCCACGGGCTGGCGCCGTGGGCACAGGCTGGGTGTCCCGTGTCCCTGCCCTGCAGAGGCCTCCCGTCCCTTTAAAGCCTCAGGCTCTCAGTTTTGTCTAAATCATGTTTCATTTATTTGTCAGAAATCCCTTATTCAGGGAGTTGGGTCAGTGTTTCAAACATAGTGGACAATGAACGCCAAATGCAACAAGCAAACATTTATTAAGCAGCTGGGGAAGGTCGCGCGAATGCCCTGGATTCCTTTATTAGCCCATACCAGGCGCCTGCACCCTCCCTGGTGGTGCTTTCTGCAAATGTGAATTTTCACACGCAGTTTCCCTTGAGTCTGGGGGTGTCCTCACAGGCTGACTTGCGGGTCCGGAGGTACCATCCCCATGAGCCATCCCCTAGGGAGGCCTTCCCGCTTGGCGGGGCACGATCTTGATGTAGACGCCGTTTTTTGGAGCTAGCGCAGATTTGGATTCTAGCTGCAGTGGTACCTGAAATAGAGGAGGGTAATGGTAAAGTGCTGGAAAATTAGCCACGCATACGGGAAGGCTTCCTCGCGACCAGGACTGCAGCAGGACTTGTGGGCACTTGGGGCTACAGTGAGCCAAGAAACCTCCCCAGTTGGACCCTCGGTTCCCTGGAAGGCCCTCTCACGCACAGGTACCGTGCACAGGCTTCGGGACGGCAGCTGGTCCCCTCCCCAGGCTCGGGCCTCCCTTCCCGTGCTGATGCAGCGCTGCGGGAGACGGCAGTGGGCCGCCCGCACCCTCACTGCAGCCCCAGAGGAGGTGGCGTCTCACTCGGCAGCCGACGACGGGGAGGCTCAGAGAGGCCACTACCTGACCAGGGTCACACCACAGGAGGGGGAGCAAAGGCCCAATCCACCTTTCAGCTGCACTAACATCCCCACTTTCCCTCTACGTCTCCTTCCCACTATTGGACAGGCGCTGCTCTTTGAGGGGCCCGAGAAACACAGTGCTGTGGGGTCCCTGCCTCTGTGTGCCATGGTCCCCTGTTTCTGAGGGCTCTGACAGTGGGGTGTTGCGGATCCCTGCGCACGCATGCCATAGCTGAATTTTTAATTTATTTCATTATTAATTAATTGTATTAAGTTAATATTTTGCTTAATACATTTTAATTAAAATTAAATTTTGAATAGCCACATGTGGCTGGTGGTGGCTGCATCAGCACAGGTGCAGCCTTGGAATACCATAGGCCTTCGAGAAGAATGGTCAGAGGGGCTGGCAAGTCAGGGAAGGCTTCCTGGAGGAAGTGGTACAGGGGTGGGGCCAGGACTGGGAGACTCCATGTGAGCTGACTTCTCAGGCCCCTTAGGGATTGAGGGGACACTGCAGGCTCGGAGCATGTGATCAGACTGGGGGGGGGGCGCTTGGAGGGATGAGGTTCTATGTGGGGGAGCAGCCTGGGCAGGCAAGGCCAAGCAGAGGAAACCTCTTGGTGTGGACATTGGGTGGGGAGTGCGCAGGGGGCACAGACTGGTCTGGAATTCTGGGCAGTGCCAGACACGAGCAGAGCCTTTAGGACACTGGTCAGGCCGCTGCACTGTGAGTGTGAGAGCAAGGGTGTACAAGGCATGCCCCGCGAGGAAGTGTTTGCCGGGGACACCTGTCCGGCTGGTTGCTCTGCTCTGCAGCTGCCTCCGTTTCTCTCTGTGCTGCCAGCTTGCCCTTCCCCTCTGCAGCATGACTGCCTGGCCTCTGTGGACGGACGTCTTCCTCAATCTCAGTACACGCCGACCAGGCCAGCGACCGTCCCGGCTTCTCTGTGCATCAGAGGCCCTGCCCTCCATCCATCTAGAGCCGAGGGGACTGCCCTGTGCCTGGCATATCTGTCCTCTCAGCCCTCGCCCAGGCCCGCA